CGTGGGGGGGGGGGAGGTCTCCTAATGCCGTATACCCTGTTGCTTTCTTCAAATTTTGCGGGTGGCCGATTGGGTTACAGACCTCTCGGAGAAAATGAACAAAAAAATGTGTCATAAAACGGGACCTCTAGGAGAAATGAAGAAATGTGACGTAAAACTAGTATGACTGCTGAGACTCACACTCATTCAAAACACACATGCTAGCAAGTAAGAAGACTAATTCTCGAAAGAAAAACCATATTATACATCATTTGTACAACATCTTGCTTGGCCAAAATCAACTTTCCCGTTATCAGAGTAAAAAGCAAAATCATATTTTTGTTAAAAACTATGTACATCATATACAAGACTTCACGGTGTCATATGGCAAGCACTAGGCCTGGCATGGAGCGGCCCCTGGGTCTAGGTGACTGACTCTCCCAGATGGCCCACACCACGTCCTCCTTAGCTGGCTGGCCTAGCTTTCGAACCGTGACAGACGTGTTGAAGTACTCATGAAAGCTGGTGATGACGCCAGCACGGAGGCACCATGCATGCACCCAATAGTCATGCTCGCCCGCCCAGACTTCTGCCACCACCCATTGCTCGTCGCCTTCGGCGGCGCCACCAACCTCTTCAACCCTTGCTGGCGCGAACCGGAACGCGAGCGCCCCCTTCACTTCGCCGGTTAGTAGGCGCCGCATGTGCTGGCACCTATGCGGCCCATGAAACCACCAGTTCAGGTCCGCCGCCAGCAGAGCGGCCACGGCCGCCACATCGCCGCGCGCAAGCGAGGCGTAGAGGGACTCCACCACCATGCTGTTGGACTTGGACCGCGCGTACATGCCCATAGTTAAATTGGATGGTCGAGCGAGTGCAAAAGTGCAAACTGCAAATTGAGTAGGCTAGTACTCTAGTACACAGTGTCCTGTAAATACTTGAGATAACACTACGGGAATCAGCTAATTTACGGTCAGGGAAGCTCTTTGCGGTCAGCTTTTCGTTGGGACAGACGGCAAAGACCACTTTGCCATCAGTTGCTGACGACAAAGAATGGCTAACGGCAAAGACATACTTTGCCGTCTATTAAAAAAATACAGACGGCAAAGACGCTTTGCCGTTTGCTTTTTTTACAGACGGCAAAGTGCTCCCTTTGCTGTCTGCAAACAAAACCGCAGACGGCAAATATCTTTGTCATCTGTGTTTTTTTTCGGACGGCAAAATGCTACTTTGCCGTCTGTAAAATAAAGACTGCAGACGGCAAAGAAGAAACACAGCCCACGGATTAATCACGCGGATCAGTAACATGGCAAAATCTGGTCCACGCATCACTGCAACGCAAAACACACTCACCCCACGTCCCATTTCCACGCCCCCACCAGTCTCTCTCTCTCCTTATCCTCCTGACAGCCCACCCACCTCCATCACGATCTCTCTCTCCGTCTCGTACCTCTGTGCTCCCATCCAGAGAAGGCCACCACCACCTCGCCTATCGGCCATGCCCTCGCAGACCACCACCTCTCCTGTCGGCTCCGGCCTCGCCGGCCAGCACCTCGACCGCCCGGCACGGCCTCGCCCGCCGTCCTCGGGCCCTCCCTCTTGTTCTCCAGATCCAGTGGCCCCGTTCCCCTTCGCCCTCGCCAACTGCCGGCCTGACGCCGTCACCCCGGGCGACCTCCGCGCGCTGTCCCCCGTCGCCCCAGCCGGCGGCCGGCCCCGTTCCCTGTCGCCCCCGCCCACTGCGGCCCCTTTCGTCTTCACCACCGGCGCCATCGAGCCTGACCCCGTCCCCCTTCGCCACCGCAGGCCGCTGGCCCCGGCCCATCGCCCCAGCATGCCTGCGCAGGCCGCTGGCCCCGGCCCATCGCCCCAGCATGCCTCCACCGGCCCCGGCCCTCGACGCCGCACCATCTCTCGGATGAGGTTGGCAAGCTCTGGCGCCGCGGCAGATGGCTTGAGCTACTCGGGCGTCCATGTTCTCTTGTAATCTATGTAATCCGTCTGTGTATACTGTGTGTAATTTATTTGTTTGTAATCTGTTCTTCTTGGGAAATAGAGCAGTTTTATATTGTGAAATTCATTCGGCGGTCGTTGATTCTTGGAACAACAAGTGTTGGATACTGTGGTGTTCGTGGTCTGTTCGTCCATTTTTTTAATATAAAAAATTATTTGCCGTCTGTGATTTAGGACGAAGACGGCAAAGACAGATCTTGGCTGACGGCTAATATACTTTTCTATGCAGTATGTTATTTATAAGGTTGACGGCAAAACTTTAGTTTACCTGACGGTAAAATCTTTGCCGTCTGGTCGACGAAAAGCAGACGGCAAAGTACTCTTTGCAGACTAGGCTTTGCCGTCTATGTTTGCCGTCTGCTAGTTGATGGCAAAATCTTTGCCGTCTGTATTACAGTCTTTGCCGTCTGTACTTGCCTGACGGCAAACTGTCCGATTCCTTAGTGTAAGAACTTGAGAAACTTGAGTTGAAGACGAAGGTAGGTGTATGTATATATAGTCTGGTAGGGTGCAACATGACAAGCCGGCCGTGTAGTGTAGTGCATACCTATTCTCGCTTTCATGCACTCACATGAACAATCTTGGTTCGGTGATGCCCATGAGTTGCTATTTGATTTTTAATTTGCCTAACTGCAAGTCGTTCTCTGGACGGAGGCTTGTGGGACGAGTACAGAAAAGTGTAGCTATTATAACGCCATATTTGATCTTTACAATTGAGCCAGTTGAAGTTAATTATTCAGAATTGATTTCAAAATTGCACCAGCACACAAGATATTAAAAATGATGTCTATATGTTATAAAAAGCTACTTTCTATATTTATTAATTATATGGTCCTGATAAAATGTTTATTTGTTTGGAGTGAGGACACACACTTTGGCGCTAGCAAGGTGGAAGAAACAGAGCAATACCCGTCTGTCTTTGTCTTTTTGAATAAAAATAATGTCCCTATCACTCTACCTACTGCATATGCCATGCATGCATATATACCCTTCGTTAGTGTCAATAAACTGCATAATAACACAGGTAATTAAGTTTACCATCTGCTTCCGTGAGGAATTGACAAAGTGGGGATATGTAATTTATCAAGGACGAAGCAGTGATGATTGATATTTACTAGCAAAACGGCCGTGCGTTGCAATGGGCAAAAAATAATTATAATCTCCAATGGTCATGACCACATTTTGCTGCATCACCGAGATACACTTTCACTCTCATTTTCCTGAAATCGGGGACACCTTTTGAAATTCATGGAAAAAATAAACTCACGAACATATCTAAAATCGTGAACATTTTTACAGCTTTTCGAACATTTTTTAATTCATGAACATTATATATCATTTGCATTTTTTTAAATTTTCAAAATAAATTAAAACTGTTTTCTTGAATAAGCGAATATTTCTAGAATCGACGAACACATTTTTGAAATTTGCGAAACAATTTTTTAAATTCATGAATATTTTTTATTTAACAAACATTTTTTGAAATGCATGATAATTTTTTGAATCTGCTAAAAATTTATGAATCACTAAACTCTTTTGTAAGTCACAACAGTCTCTAAATTTTTAGGATATTTTCCAGTTCATGAACATTTTTCGAATTGGCAAAGAAAATCCATTTTAATTAACATTGTTTAATGCAAAACTTTGAAAAAAATCATGAACATTCATGGATTTCTGGAACATTTATTTTAAAAATTGCGAACATTTTTAAAAAATCATGAATATGTTCTGAATCGGCAAACATTTATGACTTATTAAATAATTTATTTCAAAATTCTCATTTTTTAAATTTTCAGAAGTTTTCTGAAGTCCCAAATTATTTAAAATAGAATGAAATAAAGACGGAAAAGGAAAAAGAAACTTAAAAACAGGCCTCCCGAGCATGGGCCGGTCCAAATAGGCGCGCTCTGTCTTCTACCAGCGCGCAGAGCGCAGTATAGAAGGTTCCTACTGCATGCGCCGGTCCAGACGGGGGTTCCTCTGTGTGAAATGTTTTTTCTCACTTATAGGTGACATCGGTGGGTAATATTTTACAACTTTGGAGACAATTTTGATGACGTACTGTCAGAAGCAATAACCCCTATATTATTAAAGAAGATAAGGTAAATTAGTCGTGGGATGATGTGAGACCGGGGTTATCATTGTTGTATTCATATGAAATAGTAGAGAGTAAATTATGCAGAGAGATATGTAGAGGAAAAAAACATGTACAAGGGCACAAGGTTCGCATGTGAGGCCACATTGCGTACCCCGCCCACAACCAGTAGCCACCAGGTCTTCTGCGATGCGCTTCAAATCTAGGAAGACCAGCCAGATCTAGAACCACTGCATACCAGTCATTAGTCTCCATGCACCACCTCGCCCCAAGGTGCAGGAAGCTACAGACGACCGCGTCTATTCCACTGCGATGTAATGCCATGCACTATTGCCACCACTCCAACACCTACATACTCCGCGTTCTTGTTTGTGGAGAGTGTCGCCAAGGTGCACCCCTACTCCCTTCGCCTTTGATGGAAGGGCGATAAGAGATAGAGGCTTTTTGGTCAGGTTTTGAGTCACCTCCAGAGTCATTGCTTGCACGGGCAAAAATAGATATGTTGTATTCGTGTGGAGTACCCCCTCCATTTCATAATGTAGTGCGTCAATGTTTTTCAAGGTTTAACTTTGATCATAAATTTAACCAACGTGAGCGATTGTGGGGCCGCAATCATCCATGTTGGTTAAATGTATGACCAAACTTAAATCTCGAAAAGCGTAGACGCACTACATTATGGAACGAAGGGAGTAGTACATACTGTAGTAAATTGAGCACAAAGATGGTGAGAGGATAGGTTGGCAGGTAGCCAGGGAAGTGGATCCTCTAACATACAAGAGGGAAGTCAGGGTGCTACAGTACCATCCTTGAGTAAAACAGAGGAGGCGAGTTAGTGACCTGGCACTGCTCGGGAATTACTGTGGATTGCAAATCGACGTACACAAATTACTGTTGTAAATTGTTGTATTAGAGTATCTTTTTAGTCCAACCTTACGGAATTGTATTCCCTTCATTCCAAAATATAATCTTTTTAGAGATTTCAATACAGACTACATAAAGAGAAAAGTAAGTGAATCTATACTCTAAGATGCATATATACGGGCCTCTTAGACCTAGCCCGCCGCCGCCTCCAAAAAGCTTGGGGATTCTCCCTCCCGCCGGTGCCGGCGCCGGTCCGTCCTGTCTCCGATGGCCTTAGGGCCATGGAGGCAGAGTGGATCTTGCCCCTTGCCGGTGGGAGGGCTCTGTTTTTAGATTTTTTTTCGAGTTTTCTTAGGGTTTGTGTCCTGCTCAGGAAGGCGAGACGGCAGTGGCTCCTTGCAGACGGAATAAAGGTCTACCCGCTTGGCCCCCATTCCGGTGATGCGTCTAGCATTATCCATGGGCGTGTGGAGGTGTGTCTTCGGCGGATCTATCTTTGGTGGATTTGCTCGGATCTGTCTGTCGTTTGTCTTTGTTCGCGTGTCTCTAGTTTAGGTCCTTTTAATCTACACTCTTCATCTACGGCGATTGCTGTTCTGGTGCGTTGGTTCTATGGGGCCTTAGTACGACGACTTCCCCATTTTCTACTACAACAAGGTTTACCCGGCTCCGGCGAGGGAGGGGCGATGACAGTGGCCTTCAGCTCGCTTCAGTGCTTATAGTCATCGCTAGGTG